TTAATTCTGCTATATTATTCATTTATGTTACCAAGCCACCTTTAATTACTGACATCTTAGGTTTTTTTCACCAATGTGTCCTTCAGTCAACTGGGTGAATGGTATTGGGAATAAATAGTGTAGAAAATTAGGCTCTTGTTTGTAGTATCCCTATCTCATATTTGTTGCCCTTGGTATATAAATAAAATTGTTTTAATGTAAGATTTGGGACTACTTGTTGCAATTTTATGTAAAGTAGATAACTCTTTTAATCTTGAAAAAAAGGCCAGAGGCAGCCCTTGATTGGACCCAGTTTGACCTTCCCTATATACTGTAATTCAAAGAGACACATGACACCCAGTGGTTATTAGATATAATGCAGGAATGCAGAAGCCGTGGAGAATGTGAAGATACTTATCATTGTTCTCAGGTTCACAAAATTAAGATGCAACAGAAAAAAATGAAGACACTGGACAAATTACAATACATATAAAACAGTTGACAGAGATGGCCTTATCAGACTTGACACTGACGATACTGACAACAAGAAAAGCTCCCAAAGCAACTATCAACATTTGAAATACAAACCCAAATGATTTCTGATCTCCTCAAAAACATGACATTTATCCTACTTTGGAGTAAACGGTAGCTCCTTTGTGACACTATAAATCCTATAGATTTCTCCATCGGAAAATAACAATATCATGAGGTGATTTCCCTGAGGGCACTGCACCAATTAAGTAGATCCATCCTTCCACACCCTGTTAGCTTTCCACATGCTGCAGGCTTTATCGAAGACAGAGAGAGATGGTAACTGTGCTGGGGAAGTGAGGTAGTATGAAAGCACATGACACCTTCCAAAGTACTCTGACCTGCTGAAATGATCTGACGCTGTACAGATGAAAAGCAGTTTCTGGGCCTGCTCTTCTGCATAGCTTCCCCAAATCCTCAGCTGGCCCAAGAGTCTACCAGTGTCTAAGGGGTATTAAATCCACCTTTCTTCTCCTTCAACATAATATGGTACAGAAGAGCGTATAGAGCATCAAAGGTGCTTTATTCTTGATATGCCATCTCTACAAATCACTTGTTAATGTTAAATTATCATCATACTGCCTTCCCTTAATTTAGAGACATTTATGGCAAAGATAAAGTTACAGATTGATACAAGATTCTGAAAGGTACGTACTTTGAAAAGGAAACAGCTAGATAAAGTTGAAATGTAGAAGAAAAACAAGCCATTGCTAAAACACCTTCATTAGAGAAAAATCTTGTGAACTCAACTGCTGGGTGAAATTCTATACCTGTGATAGCCTATAGGTCAGAGCAAGTGATCACACAGTATTTCCTTGATGCTTTGATATTTATTAAATATTAATTATTAACCCACATGCTGAATGTCCTTTCAAACAGATCTTGAGTTTTAATATAGTTTTAATGTCCAACAACACAGCTAACACCAAAATAAAAGGAAACACATTTGAGATTTAGTGTCCCTCTGCTGAAAGATGAAGCAAATACTTTATCCACAAGCATTAATTCTTTGGTTGAGACCAAAGAAAACTTAGAGGCAATGCTTGAACAATATTCTTCTGCTAATGCATTAAAATAACAAAAAATAGATAATAGAAGGAACAAAGATATCTGTATCAACATACCATAAAAGTTAGACTTTGTTCAATAAAGTGAAATGAATAAAGCTATTTATTTGCAGACTAACTTAATGTAATGCAATATCTACTAAACTGTATTTTGCGGGTAATAGCAAAATAAATTGGTGAGGATATGAAGAAAAAGATTGAGTACACAGTGTTTTCAGACAAACACCTAACCTCTCCAGTTCAGACAATGCATAATGAAACCATGCTCTTCTTCTAACCTGGCTATGCTTTACTTCCTCAGTTTGCCAAACATTTCTTTCTACTGCTGTTAGGACAAAAGATTCTCTGTATCATAGGCATTTATGAAGCCCATGCATCAACACCTTTATTAATTGTTCAGCAACCACACAAGATCTATTATTTAACTGTCTCATTGTATAAATACTTGCTGTTGTCCCTCTTAAGGCATGAAAGATGATTTCTGCATCTTCTCCTGGAAGAAGAGATTCAACACTTTATTTTTTTTTTTTTTAGTGAAAGTGTTTAGGTGAGTAAACTGCATGTTTACACAGTTTATGTGAGTAAATATGTTGACTACATGTTTACTCACCGAAAATGAGTAAACATGCAGTCATACTTTACCCATATTCTTTTCACTCTCTCTTCTCCTGCTGTATGACCAGAAGAAACAGGGAAGTGAACAAAAAAGTAATACTTGCTGAAGTGATCACCATTAGGATAAACAAACAAACCACAGTGCAACACATGAAAAAAAAGGAAAACATCCTATTGTCACTGTAAACATAGTAAACCAGAACTTGTATTAATGAAGAATCAAATGAAAGGAAAAGGGAGAGAAAGGGCGACAGCAGAGATATTATTAAAATTATTTTAAAAAGTGTATTTTGGAGCAGGAGAATTCAGGTGATAATGCTCAATAAAACCTAAGGTTTAATTCAACTGAATTCAAGGAGAATTCAGGTGATTAAGATTTAGTGTATTTAAAACAGAGGTTTACCTTGGCTACCCAAAAAAACTTCTCCATCAAACAGTACAGCATTTCCGTTCTCCTACCAGCTGCCCCTTGGATGAAGGCCTGGTATCACAAATTCCAAATCTTTTCTCAATCACCTCAACTGAACGGCAGGTTATCTGTCCCAAATACAGACTGTTCACTCTCTGATGAGCTGTTTTCAGTGAGCACCCACGCTCCACATCCGAAAAATCTGGTCTCTTTGGAGATAAGTAAGGGTTGTTTCTGAGAATAAGACAACCGGGACCCGGCCTGAGCAAGTATCATGATGCAATGGCATTCTGAGTATGCTTTTGCTCAGTACTGAAACCTCCTGAGCAGTAAGGGATCCAAATCCACAGTCTAGAGATCACACATCTCACAGTACTGTTCAGACTAACTCAGAGCCAACTTTGGTATTTGAATACTCAGAACTACATCCTAGGAGTATGTGTTCTCCCACAGCACTTCCGATGATTTGGACTGGAATCCATTCTGTGTCACAATTTCAAAAAGACAGTGTCATTTCACCTAATCCTGGACATTTTTCTTTTGCATTTGATAGCTTTTTTATGAGACTATGCTGAGAGTAAAGACCCTTCTCTTTTTCGCACAGGGATTTATGAGATCATGTTGATCTTTCTACTCAGTGTGTTTCACGTTCTTTAACAAGGCCATGATAACAATGGATTCTTTCATTCATTTTTGTTCAGGAAATTCACTGTGTCTTTGCTCAGCCCTTTCACACAGCCTTTCAGTTTTCCCTAATGAAATGGCTTTCATGTCTGAGTGCAAAATTCTGAGACTTCTGGGTGCAGTTCTCAGAACAAAAATAGCTATTCAAGTTGTATTCATTGAACCAGAGGATTCACTTCGTCTTATTTGCCCTTGGTTTATATGCAGTTCATGGAAAGCAAATCTACATTATTTCTTTCGCTATCTCATATTTACTAGCCACGTAGAAGGCTATCCTTTACTCATAACAGCTCCTCCTGACGTGTTTTTCCTCTCTGAAACAAGTTGAAAGCTTCTCGATCTCCTTGGTGCTGCTTTCCTCATTTTGTAAGAGGCTATGAGCATCTTATGTTTTTTGCGGTCATCTCTCATTCCTGGAGTGAGAAAAGCTCTACGAAGCACTAAACTTCTCTGTAGCGATGGACTGTATCCCCTTGCACAGTACCTAGACAGATCAAGACTACGCCAACCTCTGCCTCTGACCATGGCGCCCGATTACCTCACACGCACACGCCGAGCCCTGTGCGCCTGCGCGCCGAGGGGACCATGGCAGCCGGCTTTCCCCTTCCGGGGTGATGCTGTCTAGGCGCTGAGGAGGTTTGTGCGCCATGGTAGGCTGCTGCGCATGCGCGGCCGGCGGGGCTGGCGATGTGGCGGACTGAAGGCAGGTGAGGGGTGGTTTGGTGCGGGGGAGGTGGCCGTGAGGGACTCGTGGTTCCTGTGGGGTCTGCCGCCCACTTCGCCTCGCTGTGTGGCGGGGTGGGGGCTCGGCCCCCAAAGCTGGTGTCCCGATCCCCAAAGCTGGTGTCCCGATCCCCAAAGCTGGTGTCCCGATCCCCAAAGCTGGTGTCCCGGTCCGCCTGCGCGGAGGCCTCTCCTCCAGGTCCAGTGCGAGGGCGTCCTGCCGGCACAGCCTTGCGTACGGGCGAAGCCCCGGGAGGGCGGTCGGGTAGGGTCAGCTCCCGCAGCTGTGGCGGAAAGGAGGGCCCTAGGCGTCGGGGATGGCGACCGGTGCTTCCTGCCGGTGCTTCCTGCCGGTGCTCCTGCCTGCCGGTCGGGCAGCTAGGCAGGAGCGGTCCTACGTCCGCGTCTGGAGAGAGTGGCCCTTCTGGTTGGTTTGGTTTTGGTTGTGGTTTTGTCGCTGTTTTGATTTATTTTCCATAAGGGAAGAGAAGACAGTGTGCCAACCCATTCCCAAAGGTTCCCGAGCAGGTGGTGTGTTCTTACCCTACTTATTTCTAACCCTCCTTCTGGCTTTAGTTCTTAGTTTTTTGGAGATTAGCATCAATATATACCACGTTATTAAAAAATAACATTTTGGAAAGGTCTAAGTAACAAAAGCACGGATTGGGACTTAAACCTTACCTTAAGATTCATCTTCCATTCCAGGGATAGCATTTAGTTTGCTCTTATGTAGTTACCTTTGCTCCATACCTGTTAGCAGGTGTGACTGAAGATGGAAAGTAAAAATGATGCAAGTAGCTACTGAGGAAATTCCCTTCCACTGGCCATTATCGTCTTTTTCTTGTAGTAACATAGACAGTTGCCCTACAAGCTCAGCACTATATCTAACATATAGAATTCATTACTGGAGGTGCCAGGGCTTGAGTTCTTGGAGCAGAATAACAACCAGTTGTCAGGACCTTAGGAAGAAACTTGCCTTTCAGGGTGGGTTATTCCAGAATGCCAGCTGCAATGTCATTTGTAGTAGCTTGCACTGGATATAATTGTTAATGGACTGCTGGTCTGACTGATGTAGACTCCTGGGTTACCATAGTTGCAGTTTAAATAAATATACAACTCTAACATGAGGTAGAACTTCAAAGGGTTGTTTTATAGGAAAATAATTTCTACAAATATTAAAAGTTATTTCTGCGCTTCATTCTGTCATTTGTCTGTTGGCCAGCTACCTTCTTTAATAGAAGCAGAACCTTTGCTCTCTCTTACTAGACTCTGCCTGCCGTCAGGAAGCATTGGAACGTTGTGGCAAGTCTGTAGTATGGGAGGCCACAATGTAACTATACATTTTCATAGCTTTTATTTTTAGCTTTCCAGTGTTCTCATTCTGGGTGTGGGAAGAAGAGGGCATTTCCCCGTAGGAGTGCATTGCAGGTATCGTATGTGTTGTGCTTTTAGCAGTATGGATTTCTTTAGCCCCAGCATGTTCTCTAATCACTTGCTTTCTTGTGATGACTTACTTTACTCTTGAGGGTGAAACAGACTGTATTAACAAAGCCACAGCTTTGCAGGTTCATCTGTTTGTTGTTTGGGCTTCCCCAGCACAGCTGACTTGTTCTGGGATGCAGTCCCTGAGATAGCTAATTTTTTGGAGATAAAAGTTGCCTGAGTAACTTTAAATTCTTGAGGGGAAAAAAAAAAAAAGTTGTTTATAAATAGCCTTTGGCCTTTCGTTTGTTTTGCTTTTTTTTAGGGGTGGAGAAACATGTCTAGTACAGTAATTTTATATCTACATTTCATTCTTTGGAAAATCTGAGATATTTCTGGCGTGAAAGTCTCCAATTAGCTCACTGGCAGTGTAAAAAGAAATAAGTAACTATACCACTTGATTTAGAGGGGCATTGATTTAATTACAGATAACAACCATATGCTTTCTAGCTGCTACTTTATCTTGATTACCCATGTTGTTGAGCTTAGGCATTATGTCTTTGGCAGATCAAGAAGTTGCCTTCGTATTTCCCAAGTTTTGTGTGTACATTAAGGAATTATTAACTTGTCTGATAGAATTCATAATGGAGTTAGAAATTACTTGCTCATTGTGCTCTCCAGATGAATCTATCATGTACTTTACTCAGTGTAAGTATTACACGATTCTGCTTCAGGTACTTCAGTCAGATTGACTGACCTGTACTATACTCTGACTTGCTCAACCAACTGAAGAAAGGACCTGAATGTGAGAGGTGCATCCATGTCTTCAGTACTTCTGAAATACCTTTGATTCATGGATGGCATTCACAGCAGTAGGAAAAAATAAAGATTCTTTAAATATCTAGTATATTTCTGCTTTATTTAATTTCTTCCTTCCTATGCCTTAGTTTTTTTGGCAATTTTTAACCTACCCTAAAGGGCTTAACAGTTGTACCCTGTTCTCTTGTAGTTGATGTAGAAATCCATGAAAGATTGGGTCATGGAAACTTTCCCAAAACTTAAAAAATCAGCCTAAGGGAGATGAAAAATTTCAGTCTGGATAATTCTACAATGTAAAGTGTTAGTTGATACACAGATTTGTTGCCCATCTTTTCTACTCTGTAATGTGTTATTAAGCATGCATAGTTTAGGGAATTTTGCAGGGAATAAACTCTTTTTTTCATTGGCAAGCGTTGCTAATCTAAATGTGTGAGAAACAGCAAATGTGAAGCTGGGAGTTTAATAGAATTCTACAGATTGTTTAACAGATACAGGAAACCTTTGATAACCAGATTTCTATAAGGACAGCTATGGCTCCCTTTGTTGTCTTATACTGGTGGAACTTTCCTTGGATTCAGAGAAAGGCCCTTTTTATTCTTAACTGTTTTGTAGTTCTTCAATGGAAAAAGTGTTAAAAACCAGCTGTGGCACTATGGAAGCATGGAGACAATATAGTCACCTGTTGAGACTCTCAAGGAACTACTGGGCAAAGTGATGGCATTGAAGAGCTTGAACCAGCGTTTGAGCATGGCGGCAGCTGAATCTGACAAGGACTCTGGATATTCAGGTTTAGAAAATCACTGCATTCCTTTTGTGTGTTATCTTGCTCAGACTTTGCTTTTATTAGTCACATTTGACCAATCTGTCTCTTAGCCCCTTGTCATTTATGCCTCATTAACTGAGAGGGTCTTTCTGTATAAAACAGATTGCAATCATCATACCATCAAACTGTTCTGGAGTAGAGCTTTGTGTAGTTATGAAGTTCTTTCTGAATTTGAATGGCATGAGAATTTAAAATGTGCCTAGTAAAGAAATGAATGGAAGACTCTTACACTTAGGAGTCTAGAAGTGGGGATGGCAAAATTACTTTTTTTTCTTTGCAGTGATGAATGAACTGTTGGATTATGCTGCCTAATCTCTCTTGTGATTTGACCTGAGAGTAATTTGTATAACATCAGTAAAATGTAGACACAATGTGCCGTTTTAATACTCAATAAAACTGTGAAGAGATGGCTTTTAAAGGAAAAACAAACAAACAAAACAGAAAGAAACCCACAAAGAAAAAGAGCTTTTGTGAGAGATAGAGGATTTCAAGACACAAAATGCCTGCAGCACAGACTGGCTGTGCAGTGCTGGAGCCCATAGTTCTTTGCTGCACCATGTTTTAGAGCAATCTTCATGATAGTGTGCAGTCATTTGGAGATTAACTATGAAAGAACAAAAAGTAATAATTTTGGGGGGGGGGGGGGGGGGGGGGGGCAGTATCTGCATGAGGACTAGCCTGATACATGAAGCCTTTTGTTAAAGGCTATTTGACAGCTGTCACAGCAGGTCTAATTTTATTGGTGTTCCAGAACTGAACTTTGTTGTTGTTTGTGTCTTGGTTGGAAGAAAGCAGAATAGTGAAACTGAAAGTTGGTAGCAAGCATGGTGCATGTGAAACAACTAACAGCTGAATTCTACATTTGGCAGATGGAAGTTCAGAGTGCCTGAGTGCTATGGAGCAGACTGACTCAGAGGACGTGCTGAATGCGTCGTGTTGGAATGTAGAGGATGGGCCTTGGCAACGCCCAATGGCCGCAGGCAACCCCTTTCCTGCACTTTCTCCTATGGTTGTAATGAAAAACGTGTTAGTTAAGCAGGTAGGGAAGAAATAATCTCCTGAAAAATATTGCATGTTCTTTATTGTAGTATTTTTCCTTTCTCAAAGATTTTACAAAGTTGTTGGAATCCAGATAGCAGCTGGTAACTTGAAAAGTTCTATTGTGACAGTTAGAATCACTAAGATGGAAAAAGTGAAATGGAGAAGCTCTGCTACATCTATTAAACCTTTTCGTCTTAAAGGGATCCCACAAAAAATAGATCTTTAAGAATGTTATGTTAATAGCACCAAAGAGTAAAGCAAAAAAAGTGAGTGTTTTTCCTTTTGAAAGCTGGTATTTTCATTTTCATTCAGTAAAGATGATAAAATAGGATGATAGGTTTTTCTTCTTAGTTCTTATGGCCTAAATGTGCTTTATGTACAGTGGGAAATGCTAATCCAGGATGTTTACAAGTAAAAACATTAGATTTGTATCTGAAGGCGTATTTTTACTTAATCAGTTATTTCTCTTAGCTCTGTGTGATAGCTCACACTGCAACAATTACATTCCCTATTTATGTATTCCAGTATCTTGTTACCTGTTGCCCTCCAGCACATCCCTGAGACTGGTAATGTTTACATCGTAACAGAAAATAGGAGAGCTGCAAGTTCAAAGTATTGCCGTGTTATTAGACCTCTGGCTGTGTACACGTTTTCTGAGCAGAGGGAAAGTTCTTCAGCTTTTTTTTTTATTAGAATACATGTCAGAATACAGCGAGAAGAGGAAAAACAAATATATATCCTGATTCCTTTTCTACTGAATCTTTTATAACAACAAGTAAAACCTATAAAATTCAAATATAGTGTCACAATGCTGATATAAATATAGTTTTCTGTTAGTGCTTGGCAGATTGTGCATTTGTGGGGGAGATAAGACAGGCTGAGAAAGTTTGAGCTGTTCAGCCTGGAGAAGAGAAGGCTGCATGGAGACCTCATAGCAGCCTTCCAGTATCTGAAGGGCACCCACAAGGGTGCCAGAGAAGGACTCTTCATCAGGGACTGTAGCAATAGGACAAGGGGTAATGGGTTGAAACTTAAACGGAAGATTGAGGTTAGATCTAAGGAAGCAGTTCTTTGCTGTGAGGTTGGTGAAGCACTGGAACAGGTTGCCCAAAGAAGTGGTAAATGCTCCATCTCTGGCAGTGTTCAAGGCCAGTTTGGACAGAGACTTGGGTGACACTGTCTACTGTGAGGTGTGAGAGAGGTTGGAACTAGGTGATCTTTAAGGTCGTTTACAGCCTTAACCATTCTGTGGTTCTGATCTGTGAGCTTTATTTTGGCAAGAAACAGTTTTATAGTCATGTTCCTATATGTGTGGACAAAATACTGTGTAAACAAATACTGAAGTTTTTGTATAGCAGGGAGTAGACAAGCTTCACCAAAGGCTTATTGATAGCCTTTGGCCCATACCTCAAAAACACTGATTGCAGTGGTAGTCTAATGTTAAACTCCAGGTTGTGTTGCAAACAGTTAGGACATGTAGCTGATACAAAGTAGCTTTTATATTATATTATATATATATTTATATTAAAAATATGTTAAAGTATATTAAAAATATATTAAAAATATTAAAAAACCTGGTAGTGTATCAAAAAGGAAATTTGGGAGTAAGAGTTGGAGGTAGGTAAAATTACCAGACTCGGTTCTTTTGATAGTGCATCATAACTTCTGAGTCTTAATTACATATGGTTAAGGACAGTAATGTTGAACTGAAAAATGTTTGCTGCAATAAACAAAAACAGTAAGGCCAGGTCAAAATAATAACAATGGAGTGTCTTTCTGCCTCTTTCCTTTATGCCTAGTTACCTCAGGTGGCCATGATGGTTATCTTGTTAAAATGGGCTTTTCAACACAGCCCTGAGTGGGACTTGCTGAACCAAAAAAAACCAAAACAAACAAAAAAGCCAGCATCCAGTTACTGCTATTTATCAGTTTCAGCCAGCATCATCCTTCTGCCTTAGAACCACTGTAATCCTGCGCAGTGGTGGTTACCTGCTGTCCCAGTTTCAGAGTGTAAACAGCTAACAATGTTATTAAAAAAATAAATCAAGCAGGGAAGCAGGGATTAATTCCCTGGAACACAGCGGGGCTTGTGGCATGGTTTCTGTAACTCTTTTGAAAGCCTTTTAGACAAGTTACACTGGTATGTGCAGGATGTTAGCCTTCATTAAAAAAAAACAAAAACCTCCCACGACACCCCAAAACCACCCAGACCCAACACTTTGCAGAATTAATAAAATAAGCATGTCCTTCTCTACTGAAAATGAGATTTTGGGTAGGAGAGCAAGAGCAGAATGCAGCATGAATGCAAAGAAGAAAGTAGATAATAGACGTAGGAGAAAACAGAACAAGATAAACAGCTACCACAGCTCTTCTAACTTCAATGATTTTAGGGCTCTGCTGTACTAGATACTGCACAGTTGTGCAGTAAATGATTAATTCTGACTCCAAAACCTTGCTTCTTAAGACTGCTTGTTCAGTCCTAGGTTTGTATAGCCACAGTATTTATATAATTCTAACATCTTGAGATACTTTTCTTTTGAACGTGTTTGTCCTGTCTTCTGTGGCAAGGTAATATTTATTTTTACAGGTATTTGTTTTGTACCCCTATTCCGTAAGAGTCTTGCTGACTGAACCAAAGAAATTCTGTGTCAGAATAGGTGAACCTCATCTCCATAATAGCTGCTTGTGACAAGTTCAAGTCCTTTCCTGGGAGAAATGGTAGCATTTGCCAGTTTAAATTTTATGAGACTAGGGGAAAGGAGGTACATTTCATGTGGCTCAATATAGTTCAAAACCCAGTAAAATGTATTTGCACTAAAAACTGTGCATTCAGCAGGCCTGCCTCTAGCATTCCAAGTCATAAGGAACTGGAAAAGCAGGTGGCAGTATATTATATTAATTGTGGTGGCAATGACTGAAATATATGAAGAAGTGAAATTTTCCTTCAGAAAGAAATGGTATCTCTTATTAGACCATTGTGTATGTTTGGAGAAAAGCAGGTATGCTTTTTGGCCAGGAGATCTCATGAAGATCCATGGTAATGTATTGAAAGAGGAAGAGATGGTGTCTTGTAGAAATTGATGTATTCTCCTATATTGCAGAGTGTGGCTTGTGGGAGAGAGTGAAAACTTGGGTATTTTTCTTAAAATATAATGCTTTTAAGGTTCACTAGTGTGCACTGTATCACCAGTGCTATGGAGTTAAACTGCTCGAAGGTTACAAAAGGCTTTTTTCCTTACATTGGTTGATATTCAGCTTTTTTTTTTTCTTCTTCTTCATGGTTTTAAATGTATTGAAACTGTTTTGTACTTAAGATTGCAAAACTTACTGAACAGCTGTCGTCTTTATTGAATAACGATTTCAAAAGCTTGCTATAAGAATAGAATTGACAAGATTAGAGTGCTGCCTTTCAACAAAGAGGGAGTCTGAATTGTTCCTAAAATGTCTGTACAGTCTTTCTTTGACTCTTTAAAAATATAACCACAATGCTTAATTCTTTTCCAACTTTTCTGTGCACTTGTTGTTTGAGCCCAAGTCTAGGTCAAACTTTTACATAAGCATTGTACAATATAAGCATGCACTGTAATCTTCATCTAGGAAAGCATGTATAAATTCAGATTGAATTGTTTTTAAATGTATCTGCTGTTCCACAGTAAAAGGATTATGGATGACAGCTTTGATTCTAGTGCTATGCTCTGTTGTCGGAGAAAGAGAAGGATGAGTTTGATGGAAAACTGTTCAGAATGTATTAATGGGACAGCATATATCAAATATGGAGAAATGGCACAGTCCACCTGTTTCATTTAAGGTTTTTTGATCCTTTTCTACAATTTTATTGTAAGACTTCTGTTTTTTCCCTGTTTATGCTTCTCAGGGGAGTTCATCACAGCTCCAGTCTTGGACTGTGCAGCCATCCTTTGAAGTGATTCCAGCTCAGCCACAGCTAGTCTTTCTTCGTCCATCAATCCCACCTCCCATAAACCCTCACCCTGTTGGGAAAAAGAGAAATGACTCCACTAATTACCTGCCCATCCTGAATTCTTTTCCCAAAATAGCACCACAGCCCTGCAAGAGAGATCGCTCCTTTGATCTAGAAGAATGTCAGGAAACCAGTTGCCCTAAACGACTCTGCACAGAAACACCCAAGATGGAGAGTTCTCCCGTATCAAGGAGCACAGGCATGCCTACTAGTCCTTTTGCCCACCTACCAGTTAGCTTTAAGACCCCTCAGGAGTCTAACCAGCAGAGTTCTTCAACTCTAATGACAAGTGGAAAACTGTCAGCTCTTCCTGGTTTTCATCGTGTTTCTAGTGACACTCAGAAACTGCCGGGTTTGACTCCCCTTTTGCCTTTTGGGACTCTGCAGGCAACAAAGTGCACCTCTCCTGAGAGCGAGAGTGCAGCACAGACTACAATGCAGTCTGCAGTGTGGAGCCCCCCATTGATACCAGAAGAGATTTGCACTACCCCTGAGCTGCTCTTGCAGCAGCAAAGCAAATGCAGACGCTTTCAGAACACACTTGTTGTCCTACGCAGGTCAGGATTGCTGGAGATCACTTTAAAAACCAAGGAGCTCATTCATCAGAACCAGGTGACTCAGGCTGAGCTGGACCGACTGAAGCATCAAACACAGCTTTTCATAGAGGCAATAAAGAACAATGCTCCACAATCATGGGCAGAGCTAGAAGCATCTCTAACGGGATCTGATAAAGCTGATGGTAACCTTGCAGATCCCCCTTATCCCAATATATAGTAGCTATTGGTCAAGTTATTTTTGTGCCTCCTGTTTCCTGTCTCAAGCTTTTACTTGAGCATTTTCTGAGTCCAGGACTTGCAAGGTGACATGTCTTGAATGACTTGTCTTCAGAGCCAGCTGTGGGACTGGAACAGCCTGGTGGGGTCTTGACAAATGGGTGCTTACTACTATGGTGTGTCCTTGAACTACATGCTAACTTCATGTACTTCCTGGGGCTCTATCAGCTTGGATGTGCTTTGCTGGCATGTTCCCATTCTTTCCGTAAAGACAGTCATTTACAGTATTTTGCAAGCAAATATCTTCCTGGTCCCCTCTTCAGATAGTCAGTTCTGAGGATGGAAAAGCACAACAGGCCCCAGTATTGGTCCATTATCAGTTGCAATTAGATGAAAGGCATTGGGGAGAGGAGAGGAAACTTAGGCTGGGGGGGTGATATTTTTAGGCTGTTGCTGTCCTTTGTTATAGCAGAGTCTTGTTTTGGGGGGTTTATTGCATTTGAATGAGCATTCTGTATTCATTGCAATCTTTGGTCAGTGTCATGAGTGTCTTAGGACCCAAGGGAAATGATGTGTTTTGATGAGTATACTTTTGATTCTGGTCTGTACAATTTGAATGAGTGAAAGTCACAAGGCTTGCACTGGAAGTGTTTGTTTTGTTCCAAATCCATGTTTATTAATGGCTCACAAGTGTACAAGGAAAGTGGTTTGGATTTTCTCAGTGGCTAACAGATTAAACATTGTTATTAAAGACTGCAGTAACTTCTTTTTAGAATAGCACAAGGAAGATATTCACCGGGATTAATTCAGCAAGACTAGTTGCATATTATTTGATATGTGTATCCTTAGTTTACAAGCATAAACTGTTCCTTTTTTTTTTTCTTTCCTGTGAAATCAGATAACTAACTATTAAAAAAAAAAAGAGTTGAAAGGAAAAGGAGCATAAATGGCCTGTGATGAAACAAGTCCTTCTCCCATCCCCTTTCTTTCTCTTTTTTTTGTTTAGAGAAATTAGATGAATGTACTGGGGGATGGGGATGTCAGGTTGGCTAATCTCCAAAAAAAATTTTATCTACCTTGAATTTGAACATAAAAAAACCTCAGCAATCCCAAACCAAGAACAAAATCCCAAAACATTTTTTCTTCTGAGTAGGTTTGTATCATTCCTAGCCTGCTTGCCTTGAGATACAGCTAACGCTACTGTCTGCATAAGGTATTAGGCCTGGCTAGTAGAGATCCACAGTAGTCATGTTACCGAAGTTGTTCTACAGACATTTATTTTCAGTTTATCTAGGCACTTAACTATGTCACTCCCTCCAGTCTGAAGGGCTTTTTTCAGAGGCAGTCTGTGTAAAGAACTAAGAATGACTTTGTCTAAGAGCATTAAGGACTCTGGATTGTTTATGGTGTGTTCCTTTCTGTGTGACAACATTTTCAAAAAGTCATGGTGACTCGGTGACCGGGTATTTTGATGCTTTGATCACTCCTGTTATCTCTTTCAGGTTCTTAAAAATAAACTTGAAAGTAAGGTGGATGTCTTGCTGATTTGTGACAAACCTTTCCATTTTCTGATGCCTCTCGGAATCGATATTGCAGAAGATTGTGTAGAGTGCTTTTGTAGTCTTCCTCAAATACATGCATTAGAGAAATTGTAAGGGAATTCTCTCTTTTAAGGGGTTTTCCTCTTTTTACATTGATGGAAAGAAATGCTGTACATGCCTCACAAAGAGGAGAAATCTGAGTCATATTTGTACTGTCCATAGTAAAGTTTTGTCCATAGGCCTAGAGAGAAATACTGTGCCAGGATTCAGCCTAGTGAAGCTATGCCTTGCCAGGTGTCCTGCCCACCTGCTCAAGACTAATGCACTAGGTGGGAATTGATTGAAAGAAAAGTGTTCACAGACTGTGTTGTCCTGTATTTTTTTAAATATACATGCTGTAGTTGTGCATACCAGGATTTCTCATAAATTGCAGCGCAGCAATAGCAAAACTCAGCCAGCAAACCTAGAAGGCAGGATAATACAGTGCAATAATGTAGGTCATGTCTGATGTAGCTTCTTTGGAATCAGTTGTGATACCTGCACTGGATAATATTTGGCAGGATAGATGTGATGGTACCTTAGGCCATTTGTGAAAGAATCCCAAAAAATAAGCTTGATTTTTCTGAGCTTACAGGAAGGAGAGGAGGCAGTAGCAGGGAATTCTATTGATTGGATACCTGTATGGGCCTAGAGGTGAGATGTGAGAAAATACATAGGATATCTTTCCTACTTTTCCTAAAATTCTTATTCTACCCATCAAATAGGAGAATTTGAAGTTCAAAATATATATATTTTAGGAATTGATTGTCCTAGAAAACAAGATGATAGGCTACCTAGAAATGAAAGCAAGTCAGAAAAAAAGTCCAGTCTTAGCTGTTTGAGACAAGAAAAAGTGGGTCTGCTGGTGACGTCCATCCTATTTCCGCTGTTCTGACAGAGTAAAAGGAAGGAAATGCTAGCCTTGCAGTGTAATACTTTTTGACTTAAGGAGACTATAGCTGATAGAAATGTCTCATAGTCAACACAGAATCGCATATATTTTTTTGCCTGACAGCACTGAGGGTGGGCTGATGCGGGTGTGCTTATGGCTGATGGGCCTTTCAGCTGGTATAATTTGCATAAATACCTATTCAATAAATCTGTGACTAGAGTTCAGCAGCTGGTTAGAAATCTCCTACTGGGCATCAGTCCAGACTTAAACAGTATTTGCTGAACTAGAAAAATACACTCTGGAACTATTACATGTAAATCTGGAGCCCCTTAGGAACCGTATCTCTAGATAACTGCAAATCTTGACGCAACATCTATGAAAAAAAGGATGTTGAAGACCCCTAGTGATAAGTAATGTCATCAAGTACCATTCTGTTTAGATTCTCTTAGCTGCCTTTATTCCTGGAAGCCCTGATAAACCTTTAAACAATAAGGGTTTCCTTTCTTAGCTGCAATTTAATAAAATAGGTTAGCTTGGAACTGTGTTGAGAAAATTAATTGACTGCATCAGGACCAGAACAGGTCTTTATTCTGGGTAGGATGATTTGAGCAGAAACATTAGCTTCTCTGATTGGAAGCCTGTAAGCAGTGAGCCTACGGATAATTTTTTTGACCTTTGAAGCAGCAAAACTTTGCATTAACAAATTAGTTGAAGACAGCAGGCCCAGTCTAAAAAATCAGTCAGATGGCCTGCTGTGGCTTCGGTTGTTGCTGACACCTAGCAGGCAGGGTAGGTTGATGGTTCAGACAGACTGCAGTTTTTCTATTGTTTTAATAAATGTTGGTATTTTTGATTACTATGTACTTTTGAAATTCTACTGCTCTAGTTGGAATGTAAACATTTTTTGTAATTTTGAAGTCTGTTGCCAGCTCTGAATGCAGTAGCCTACTCTGTTATAGAACATGACCTTTTTGCTAAAACTTCACAGAAGCAGACTGTGAAATATGAATGAAATAAAATCTATACTTGAAAAGTTTGTGGGTTATTTTAGTGCTGTTAAACTGCAAAGTCCTTTGTTCGGAAGCTTGCTTTTACATACAGCTCCTTGGCAGCATGTTGCCCATGTAGGAAAGTGCCGATCCAAAAGTGGTACTATGATTTCTCTCTCCAAAGAGAGTCACATGAGCTTTAACACTATGTTATGAATTAAAGGGTCTGTGGGAGGAGCATGAGTAAAAGTGGGCTGTACAGAACTCTAAAAATATATTGTCATGGGTGACCATTGCCATAGATGTGTCATGAACAACCTGGAAAGATTTTTCCACCTCGGAACTGTTATCTCTATGTGATGACTGTACATTATGCTCACCGTCTGTGCGGGTGAACTCCTACACTGCATATTAATCTTGTCAGCTGTGTATGCACAAGTTCTAAATTGTGAAGTAAGGATCTTTTTACTCTCTCTCTTGAAGAACATTCTTTAACTCAATCTGTATACCAGCTTTTCACCAAAGCACATTTTTCAAAATGTGGCCATCTTTACAGTCTTTTCTTTGTTCAGAGATGACTCTTACAGTGAGAACTAGGCAGTCATGCTCAGACTATCCAGCAGCCTTGTGACATGAGATCATGTCCTAAGGTACAAGAGATTCTGGTCAAAGTTCTTATGTGGCACCAGACAAGGCAATAATTTGAATCTTATTGCTTTAAATCCAAAAAGGGGTGCTGTCAATTGAAGTAATTTTATTCCCCAAGACTGAAAACTCAGTGCTTGCAAATTTTGTGTTATTAAAAGGTATGGGTACAACTGAAGCAGGAAATTTTCAGGTCTCTGTCCATTCTGGCTAGCTTTTTTTTTTACATGATGAAGTCTAACTGCAGGATGTCAGGCCTGTTCACCTTGATTTCATTGAGGCCAAAAACATTAGTTGCTTTTTTCAGGTGCACTGCATCTGTCTTGTTTTTCTTTCTCATGACACACAAAGAGCCTGAAAGGAGCAGGACCCTCACAGGCTTGGGCTGAGCAGTCTTCTGGCATGAAAAATTTCTGGCATCCACGAGGTTGAAGGCAGCATGCTGTTACTGCTTTTGTTCTCATAATTCCTGGGACAGAAATGTGGGTTCCCTACCTACACAACTGTTCACTCTTGCTGTTTCTGGGTGGTATTTCCTTTTGGGCCCCTGTGAAACACAGCCATATAGCCCCAAGTGTATTACGTGGTCCAGAGTGACCAAAATACAATTTCTCTTCCTTTCTTAAATCTGTGCTTCCTTTGAGGTATGTCTGTGAGATAAACTAAGTCTTTCAGTATAATCTATTCAGAAGGCAGAAGGGAACACCATGTGTTCAGTCTGCTCTCTTGTAGAGCACAGTTTCCAAGACTTCCTCAAATTCCTGTTTGAACTAAAGTGTGTTTTTAGAGGAAGCATCCTGCATTGATTTGAAAGCTCCTAGTGATGAAGAATCCACCCAAATTGTTCAAAACATAATTACTTACTGTTAAAAATGTGCCTCTTACATAGAGCCTGAATTTGTTGTCTTTCAGTATCCAGCTGTCAGATCTTTTGCCTTTTGTCTGCTAAACTGAAGCTCATGCTGTGACATTGCTGGTTTCATTGTAGGCATTTACAAACTGAACAAGTCAATCGTCAGCTTTCTTTTTTAAAGTAACCGATTAAGCTGTCAAATCTTTGAATCCTTTATTCATCTGTGGCACTCTTCTTTGGATCCTTTAAAATTATTTAAATTAATTTTTAATTGGAACAGTAACTTTAATAGCAAAACAGGATTGCTAGAAGAGTTGTCCAGTATCAACCCTCCCTACTGCTATTCTGCTTAATTTTCATTGCAGCCTTGACCATGGCATCAGATTGAAAGTTTGCTTCTGTTGCTTCTGCAGTTGGCGAACTGTCCTTTAAATGTGTTTCCACACTCCTTTGAATGTAGTTTGCAGCCAGAAAGCAAAACAAATTATTTTAATAAGTGACCAATTGCATTTATTAGTTACCTCTGCTTCTCTCCTCAAAACTTTTTTGTCTTCAGATTTTGAAGGTAATTTTGCGTTGTATTCTAATTATTAAAAATAATGTTAAATAATGCCAGTTTCATACCATTTTCAAGGTAAGAGTAGAAGGCAGTGCTTAATAGATCTCTCTACAATTCAGAAAGCATAATGCATTTCATAGCATCCATTTGATTTGTATAATTCTGGCTTCAGTCTGTGTCATGGGGCACACTGTTAAATGCTCAACAGAAGTAAAATGTTGTATCTTTGTTGGCTTTGTCCTTTACCAATTTTTAATTCTTGCTCATCAAAATAAGGTGTTCGTTTTACTTGACCAGCTCTATTTCTTATAAGCTTTATCACTTCTAATTTTTTTTGCTTTATAGGTCCTTGATTAATCACAAATTATGGGTTATTCCACTACTTTCTCTCAGGTGTCCAGCCTTTGTTCATTCAGATCAGTTTACCTACCCACTGAAAAGCTGATGCCTTGTTAATTCTTTCATCCCCTCAGCCTTCTGAAATCTTTCCTAGTGGTCTAAAATTCATTGAAGTAGTATTGATGGTCCAGAGAGCTTGTTGGTTAGTACCTGTTAAATTTTCTATCACAACTTATTCAGACTTGCTGACTTTAAAATGGCTAATAACTGTTGTTTCAAATGTCCTGAATTACTTTTTGAAGTGGAAATCAAGCTGTTGTCATGAATGCAAGGAATATATCTGGCTTTTTTCTAATTGCGCAACAAAAATTTTTGTGAAATGCTTTTGCCATTCTGCACTGCAGCAATGTAATTTCCATCTTGAACTGAAGCACTGCCAGTGGAAAGATTTCTTCTGCATCTTGTGCATTTTAAGAAATGGAGGAAGTGGGCTTTCCAGGGCCAAAAGGGGAGTTTCATCAGCTTCTTCACTGTTTTCTTCTTGTTCTTACTGCAATTAAATTAATTGAGTTAGTCTAATGGAACTGGAATGCCTCTTACCATGCCCACTTAGGCAGTCTTACCTTTTTCCATCGCAATAGTACGGGGTTTTTTTAGGCCACTTATAGTTACCAAGACTAAGAAATCCAATAACAGACAGAAAACCAATCCTTACTGGTTTTTAAGAGATAGGACTGCTTGAAAAATTTATGTGTTTTCAATGGAAAAGTCCTGTGTTTTTATTGGAAATGAAAATGTATTTTGGCTGGCAGCTTAGTCTTTTGCAGCATTAGTCATAGCATTCATTTTTCAGTGAATCTCAAGCACTATGGAAATAGTGTGGACTGTGGGAGTGGGGGAAGATGTTGTTTCTCTTTACCCTCATCCCCTTCTCCCGGATTGTTTTGGGTTGCCTCTACAGGAAGTAGTACCCCAACTTTGATGAGTGGTTCCATCACCTCATGCTGGAGAACAGAAGCCTGCATAGACAGCCAGAACTGCTCAGTTCTCTACAATGGATGAGACTAATAGAGAGCTCCTGGGTAAGTGAGGATGAAACAGCATCTCCTGAGAAAATTGCTAGCTTAAAGAGTACAAATACCATTTTTTCATCATATCCCTAAAAGTTCTAATTAAAAAAAGAGAAAAAAAAAGGTTTTTGTTTGCTGCAAAACATGGCTATGCCAGATAGGCCTTGCTCTACATTTGCCAGAGGAAGAGTTCAGTGCAGCGAATATTTTGTGAGATGAGCAGTGTTTCATGTGGAAAGTGTGAAATATGAGTAGACAGTAGGAAAGCTGTTTTACCCAGAGTGAATGTTAGCAATGCCCATTGTTTTGTATTCTTGCTAAGCATAGTCTCCCATGCAAATGATAATGCTATGCAAAGTGTCCAAACATGCTTGGAAGCCAGAATAAGATACTCTTCATCAAAGTGAAATTGCCTCTCACTTTTCGACATCCTATTGCTGACCATGCTTGCAGCACACTTTCTGAGAAGATCTGACAGTGTGTTGCTGACCTCAATTGTGTGAGAAATGGCCAGAAAGAATTCTGAAACATTTGTTTCCGCACTAATTGTGCAAGGAAGGCAAGTCTGAGCTTGAAGATAATAATCTGAATAATGAAATGCCTCCAGATGTGTAATAGGAGCTGCAGCCAGCCTGAACTGGAACAGAGCAGAGTGGTGAACTGCACTGAGGGTCTATTGCTGTAGCGCTTATGGTCTGCAATGGCAGCATTTGGGTAGAGACTTGTTGTAGTACAGGTATGCCAATGGCCCTGACTGGTTTCTAGCAGTTCAGAATCAAGCTGGACAGCTCAGACATGTGCCTCAAAGCTAAAGGCAAAGGATCTATTCTTTTGAAAGGCTGGTATGCAAATATAAAACTGGCCTGCACATTGAAGTTGTTACCCTGTTCATTTTTTCTGCAGCCAAACTTAAACCAGCTGTGTTACATGAACTGCCTCTGCCTGATCCTGGAGCCAGCAAGGTTATGGAAAGCATTATTGCAGTTTCTAAGGCTTCCTTTTTTTTTCAAATTCCACTGCTTCTCCAGCACCTAAACACCTACCAGCCTGAGACACTACTGTCATTGCGTGCAAAAGGGGTTAGTTTATCAGTGAGCTTAGTTGGGTGAGTGGAAGCAGATGAATGCCAATAGAATAAAAATCCTGAATTCCTGAGGGCAAGATTACCCCCGATACAATGTTTCCTGTTCCATGTCATTATAAACTCTGTTATCCACGTGTGAAAACCTTAGAGGAATACCTGCATGCTTGCTTCATCTCGCTGTTCTGGCACTTGGTTCAGTAACAAACAAGCACTCAGTAGTCCTGCAAATATTCACTATTATCTTAAACAATAATGACAGTAACGGTAACAGGCCGCTGCCTGCATCTTACATTAGTATGGGGAAGGGAGGAAAACACCCAATTTTTCACCACAGCTTAGCTGAAGTTTAGGCATGCTTTTGTAATTTCTTCATCACATCCTGTTCTAATGCAAGGTCAGTCCTTAGCACATAATTTTTCAGTAAATGGGCTACTGCATCCATTTAAATTCCCTTCAGAATATAAATGTGACTAAAATAAGTCTCTGTCTGCCTGAAACTGTTTCTGTTTGGGATGCTAACAAATATAGCAGCACTCAATTCTTCTTGGACTCTTCTCAGATATTTCCATGGTACCCAAGCTCCAGGTCAGAACTGCTCTAACTTGAGTACACATAACAGGAGGAAATTAATATTGGCAATTGTGTTCACATTTAATGTCCAACAAACACCAGTAGCACTGACATGTCTAACATACGCTTTTGGACTTTTTCCTTTCTTTGAGATTTGCCCTGGTCTCTTTCTTATTAATTTAAAAAAGATCTTGATATAGATGTGATATTTATGATGTGTAATATCAGCTCCCAATCTTGTTTTAGGGATCATTATTGATGTTCAGTATTTTGTTGGCATGACAAAATGTTTTAAATCATACACCGTTCTCAGTGCACTGTAATTTTCCATTCCTCTTCTGTAGTCTAAACAGTCTCATCAGGTAGAAGATAAAATAAGAGAAATTTGAGTAAGGAACTGGTTGCCATATGGCTGATGCCTAAATTCTCAGCAATTTGAGGGGAAGAAAGTGGAAAAGATGAAGTATATTCCGCAAAGTTAATGCCATAAGTAGGTGGCAGCTGTTAGTAAAGCAGGAAAACAAAGGCAGAGGAAAGGGAAAGAATACCGAACAGCAATGTTACCAAGGATTTTTCTCACAGATTTTAAGGTAACCATCCACACAGTGTCCTAAAGCAGTTTTTCAGGTTTCTTTTAAAAAATCTGAAGGCAGTACTTTTAACCACAAAGAGGGTTTTTTTTTTCCATTTGATCTAGATGTATAAGCAGAAATGTGTTTTGATGGTGGAGATGTATTCACTGCTTTCATTGAGTGCTTGTTCTTCTCCCCTCCTCTTTCCTCCAGCCAGAAAGTATGCCGTAGGCTTAAGTCTGTGGTTTTAATCCTGCAAATTGTACCCAGCTCAAAAGCACTTGGCACCAGCAGTGCTACTGCTGCATGAAATATTTCAAACAATAACATATGGTTGGAATTGAGATGGCCCCAGGCTCTGCTCTTTGTCTCACCTTAAGAAAAGGCACTTTGATCTTCTCAGCTGTAACATGAAAAAGCAATACTTCTTCCCTATTATAAAGTGCTTTAAGCTTCTTGTATACAAATTGCAATATTGGTATTTATTACAAGTTACGGCTATGGGCTGTCATGCTTCTGGTGCTGGATTTTCTAAAGGCTGAGGATCTATGTGGTTATACTAACCTATATTTTATTTAATGTAAATAAATTAAGCTATGTACTCACTGGGCTAATTTCTCATAATACATTCCACAAGTGAGTATAAAGACAGGTTCCTTATGATTTGGAAAACTGAAAGTAAGTAATATAGGGGACTAAAATCTCTACTTCTATGCTTATCCAAGGAAATTATTATAAATATCTTAAGGTTGATAGGCTATGGGAGTGAAGAGAGTGTTAGCTGACTGTGTCGCAGACACTAAAAAAACCTTTCGTTGTGTAAGGAGACATCTGTCTCGCCCCACTCATGTATTCATTTATGCCCACACATGTCATTTTCCTCCCCAGCATGTAAACCTGTTCATGTAACTGTAGTAATGCAACATGTGAAACTGGGGTCAAATGCCTGGAGGCTTATCAGATGTTACATTTTGTATCTAAAAAGTTTCAGTATTTGAAATGAGAAAAAGTCCCTCAGTACAGTCCTGGAAGACATTGAGTACTGCAGCCTAGCCAACAGAACTGAGAAACACATGAGTAAAATGGAAGGTGTGAAGAGTGCAGATGTAGTTATTGGGACTATGTCTATGCTTGAAGCTAAGAATATGCTTGAAGCTAAGAATATGCTCAAATCTTTTTTCCCACGCTGAGCTGCAGTGCTCTGCAACTAGTAGGACTGAGTATTTTCATTATTGTCTCTTCAACCATGGAGCTTCTGTCCTGCTTGCTTATCTGTGTTTACACAGTTTGCATAATTTTGTTAGAGAAACACTGGGATTTGTCAAATTCCAAGGTGAAAAAGATCAGGACATAGGATTTATAAGGACTGATTTTCAAGACAGAATAAAGATTTATAATTCTCTCAGATGGCTTGTAATCTGTGGTAGTTCATTAATGAGCGGAATTTTTGTACGCCTGGAAGAAACTTTAGGGGCACGGTCTTGTTATTTGTTTATCTACATAACCCAAGTGATTGAGCGTCCCTTGCAAAATTCACATTTGTTAAAAGACGTGACATTTAGCCAGTTGACTGCAAAAGGATTACTTGCTCTCATGTGGTACTGGAGACTTCTGACCACCAGAGTTATGCTTCTAATGCCTCAGGGACTTCCCATGGGGACTGAAAATCCATAGAGCCTCTTAACACTTAAATGTAAACCTTAATTTTAGGCTTTTGGTGGAAATTTAAATTACATATTGGTTACATTGCCACTGGGGTTTCAGTAAGTAAATTTTTTCAAACAAGTATAAAAGGTCATTCTAGTTGATTCATATATAATAATAGCTGAGCTAATGAAATGTCTACTTTCTCCTCTTTGTTATTTCTCAGATACTGTGATGGTCTCCCAGTTCTTCCATGTAAATCTTTTCTACATGACCTGCTGTGTTTTATCAAAAGTGTTTCCCTGTATTAGATTCATAAAGAGAGGGAGACGGAGCAAGAGTGAAGAATAAAAAATATCTTAAAATGATGTCAGAATTTGAAAGTGATCTTAAATCTATTTCATGTCTCAGTTTGCATGTATTTATGTTGTGGTTTAAACCCAGTCAGCAACTAAGTACCACATAGCCACATACTCACCACCCTCCTTCCCCCTCCCTGACCTTATATTTCCAGAAGTTCTTAACATGCAGTGTTTCTCCAAGCCATCTGAAAGTTGTGTTATGGAAGTTAACATACCTCACTGTTCATTTAAAGATTAAAAAAAAATCAAATAGAAATACCGATACGTTTTCTTCAGTATACATACACAGAGTGGTCATTCAGGCAGTACTTGAAAGTACAAAAGTGGGTAAAACCATAAGCTGTTTAAGTATCTCTTAGTCCTATTGAAATGCTGAGAAATATAATTCATAAATGAATAAAAAACTACTTTAGGGATATAAAATTATAATATTCTCTGCCGTTTCTCAATCATTGCTGTAGCATTTACACACAGAACCCATGTGGGAATCACATTCTCTTATCCCATCCTTGTAAAGAGAAGACCAAAACACTAGTTTATGCTTCTTTCAGCACATATCCCTATATATAATTATTTGCACAACTATTTGTATTTCATGTAACCTCTATTGAATAAAGCACTGGTACTAATAAATACTTTTAACTCAGCTGAGATGGTGAGAAGTGCAATGCAGAATAGGAAAGGGTCATGATAATATAAACAAATCTCAGGTGAATATGATCAGTATTTAGCTCCTCTTGGCTTAAGCTTGAGCAACTGTCTAGGTAAAAAGTGGAAGTTTCTCTGGTTTATTTTCTACTACTGTTTTCCAGCAACACAGGCAGTTCCCTATTCACTGTGGTTTGCCCTTTTCAGTTCTTGCAGCTCCCTAGATGTGAAGTTTTCAGCTTCCCCAGCAGAAGCTTATTCTACGGCTGACAGTGGAAGAACTGCAGTTTGAAAATATTTCCTGGGATGTTAACATGTAATTTCCTTTTCTTAAATTGAGCTCTATTTCTAGTCGATGTTTGTTTATCCAACAAGAATTATTTCTCCCACCCTCCAAAACACATGGATGGTTGCCATATTTTCCTCACATCCACTTTGGCTGTAGTTACCTAAGCCAGGCAAATATAACCATTTTCCCCCCTTTCAAATCCATTTCTCACCTTCTTAATAATTTCTGGCTTTTCTGTGAACTCCATCTGGTTTAACTAATGAAGGCAAAACTGAATATAATATTCCATGTCTTTATTACATCCGAGCACCATGGAAAGGCTCATTGTAATTTTTTTATTATTAATTTATTTATTTTTCTGTAAGTTCATCTCCATATGCAGTCTGAAATGCTGCCATCTTATTCTGCAGGCTCCTGTTGAGTTTGTTTATCATTCTAGAATTCGTAGGCAGGGTTGGCACCCTCCTTCACATATTTCCCATTTTTCTACCCTTTTCCCGTCAATGTAATACATAACCTAACAAGCCCCTGCTGAAATTCATTCTTTCCCAGAAGATGCCAGTAGCTGATTGGATGATGCTGGACAAAGTTTTGGGCAAATTAATTCATAAGGAGCAGTCAGTAACCAAAGCTGAAAAGAAGTTGTCAAAGGGAGAGATGTGGTGTTTGCCTCCATCATGATTACAGAATTTCTTCTACCCCAAACCTGGGTCTGATAGAAAGCTTCTGTGTTACTTAAAAGATCATTGCTTGAGGTAAGAGGCTTTTAGTGTGCTGTTGACAGCCCAATTAGTAACATTTTTTTCTGAGCTGATGGCACCTCTTGCAGCAGGACATTGGCTCTGCTCAGGCTTACTGTGCCTGCCATCTGCATTGACTACATGGACAAATTTCTGACTACCTAAAGCAACGGAATGATCTGAGGTGGTGGTGGGCTGAACTCATGCCCAAACTATAACTCAAATTATGGCAGTCAGAAACTGGGTCTTACAGTTTGATTTGAAATTTCAGCTTTCCTCCTGGCATGAAAAAATATGGGTTTTTTTTGAGCTTTGTTTCCAGAGTCTTTAAAAGAGATTTTAGATCTCCATGAACTGTATCACTGGTAGCTTGGTAAAACTTTGTTGCCACCTTTTCTTTCTGTAGTCAGTCCCTTTATTTTCTTGTGCCTTCTTTCATGGCTTCATATGCAGAAATTGTCTTATTTCCTTGGACGGTTAGTGACAATGGCACATAAGGGAAGACACCTAGAGCACTCATAAAATTGCAGTCTAGTGCATACTAGTTTAGAGACATGGATAGATGGGTCTGAAAGATTTTTTTATACCCTATACTGTGGCTTGAAGAGAAAAGGGAAAATTCTTTGCCTTGACAATAACACTTCCAAAATCTCAATCAAGTTTTTTTTTAGTGTAGTAAATGGCTTTATTAATCAAAGTTTTATCAGACAAATCCATCTTTCTGAGTGTTATAGGTGTTACCTGGAGAAGAAAATAATGGGATCAATACATGCTACCATGAGGACCTGTGCTGGTCAGGATTCCTTATTCCCCCAGCTTGCTGGAAAAGAGCTGGAAAAGCAGAGAACCTCAACATGGACATGTAGTTATTAGAGAACATCTTAGTGTTCCTTAATATAAGTTGTCTTAATAAGTTATCTGACTTTGTGTTTCCATTGATTTAAATATCTAGCAGGGCACAGAGACTCCACATATTCTTTACATTTTCTTCTCCCTTTATTTATTTCTACTGAGCAAGCAGGCCATTGCTTTACTTCAATCATAACAGTTCTGGATAGTCTTTAAATAACTTGAAGAGAACTATAAAGACTCTGCTGTTGGTACTTAAGACTTCTACCCATGCACCTCCTGCTTGTAACATCATTTGCTGCTCAAGAGAGAAAACCTTTTTGGCTCTAATGGGATTTTAGATGTTTTGTGCAGAAATTGATTAGAAATCAGTTTTCTCAGTCTGGCCTTTCATTGTATCCATTCAGTCAACAATCAATGAAGACAACTTGAATTCTGTTGTCATACCTCCCACTGCCTGATGGCTCTCAGTCCATCATCCCTACCAACTTCAAATCACTTCTGCTCTCACTGGGGCTACTTTCTTTGATTGCTCTCTTCTGACTACTTTAAAGATAGATACCCTAAGCTCTGACCTCAGCTTTTCTTTCCCTCAACCCAAGACTGCCCGTCCTCCTCCAGCTATTTCCTTACAGTTAACGAATCTCCTCATTCATCTATTCTGTCTCCTTGCAAGTATTTTTAGACTGTGATCATCTCCCTTTAGTTGGCTATTTCTTAAAAAAGATAAATGCTATTTCACGTCATCTTTTTCTCATATGTTCCCTGTGCCTTATTGCTTGAGGCTCTTCTTGTTTTAACTCTATAATCTCTGAGGATGTCCAATGAAGACCTTTTGCATGCAGGCCTTGAGCACTGCCTAATAGTGTAGTATGAAGAGGAAAGCCATCTACTTATTTTGTATGAGATTCTTACTATATATAAGATCAGACTTCTGTGTTGCATCCCAGTTGCATCCCCTAATTTGTTTTATGCTGTTATTGGGCAGAATTCTGACACCTTAGAGGTGCCACCATTTTTTTTTCAAATAGCCACACTTAAAATAGACAAGCCACTAAGCAAAAGTCTATAGTTTCTGTCCAACGTCTTAAGCAATAGGAATCTTTTACTTCAGCCACTAGCATCATTAGACAAGAATTGATGCTCATCTGATTTTCCAGAGAAGCCCAAAGTGTTTTATTTTTAAAACATTTATAAGTATTTAGAACATTGTCACAATAAATCATGTTCCAAAATACATTTGTTATTGCAGCTGCTATATAATAAAATGCAAATAATAAGTAATGGCTCTCTAAGCGCAGAAAATGAGAAGCTTTTATTATTTATCCTTTTGAAACTTCAGAGCCATCGAACAGATTTAGAATTTATGACATCGCCATTCAGCTCAGCCTTCATTTACTAAATCATAGCTAAGAGCAAAGGTTCTGTTCACAGTCATTGAGCCCTGTTACATTTTCTTGCCAAGGATTTCTGTAAGTGGAAGCACAAAATATGACAACAAAGGGATGTCAGGGTGGTTGGATAATTAGAGCTACTCTCAACTGCTCCTGCAGAACCACTACTCTACCCCAAACAGGGCACTCCACACACTTGGGAACAAGCAGAGAAATAAGCCAATATACAGGGTCAGCCTAATGTTACATTTTTATAGCTCTTTTCATCCCAGAAGATCATAACTGTAAAGGCTGTATCCATCTGAAAGTCCCACCACTACTGAAATCCAGTAGTTTGCTGCAAAGAAACTGTTTAGCTGCATAAAATGGTGATACAGCAATTTGCAGGCAGGAACACAGGTGTCTGACAGAAAGAATAATTGTATGGAGCTGCACTGCAGTTACTCAACCTGGGATCTGCCTGTGCTCCAGCAAGGACTGAGACTTCACAGTGAGGGCAGACATCTGTGACCCTGACGCAAGGGCAGGGTGCAATCCAACCCTGGTGTGAAGAGGCGGCGGCCTTCATGGGCAGCTAATCCTGTTGTGCTGCATGGGGGCTGTCCTTGCAGAGTGCCCCACCAAAATTCTTGAGTTGGTTGTGCCCTTTTCAGCATGCGACCCTGAAGAGCTTAAGTCTGAGACAGCGTGGCTGCAGGTGCTGTGTGCCATGAGACTGCAGTGCCAAACAAACATCAAAAGCAGAGGGAGAGGGTATCAAACCATAATTTCTGTTTATGTGAGAAAGCTGCTGCTGAAATGTTTGGAGCCTGTTGCTTTTAGAAACAGACAAAAGAAAAGAAGCTGGATCAACCAGTCTGTGGAATAAGAATAATCCTGGGAATCCTTCCAAGGCAAGGTGTATGGCACAAGGCGCTGGCTTTGGATCCAGCAACAAGGTGACTGTCTGCTCACCTTGATGCCATCGTGCCAGTAAGGAATAATTTACATTGAGATGCTGTTTGTGGGCAATGGTAATAGCTTAATTTTTCTATAGCTTTCAGTTGAGGTTGACAGTGTCATTTATAAATGGAAATTAGAATGGATCTGCAAGTTGGTTATTAGATGAATTTTATATTGGTCATTACATTAAAGTAGGAAGGGTGAAAGGACTTACCCAAACTTATATGATGAATTATTGGCAAGGCCAATAAACAAACCCTAACTTTTTCCTTCGACATGTCCGTGTGTATGCTGTAACCAATGTCCAGAGACAGCTAATGAACTGTCAAAAAGCACAATACAGCTCACCTAAAAAAAGCAGAACACTTTTTATTGTTCACTGTTAGTGAAATACAGCATATTACACATGGAAACAGCAGTATGTTCATGTGAACACACATAATGTGGAAGGACGTATATCCTACATGTTTTAATTTTCCAGCTAAGGGTTTTTACAGTATACTTTCATGGTTACTCTGCTCATCACAATAGACTTAGTTTGTTATTGATCCAAACGTGTATGCAAGTGTCAAGTGGTATAAGATGCTTACAAAGCCTGTAGGAATGAGTGCCTCTGTTCTGCCTCATGAGAAATGCAAGAATGAAAGCAAGTGCATTCCCCTACCTGGGATGCATTGAGAGAGTTTCTGGGGAAGAAATAACATTTTTCACAACTTGTCCGCATACTCCCCAGCCTATTAAGGAGAAGCAATGGATTCCTATCCAGCCCACATAAGCCAATGCAGTTTGCCAAAATGGAGGCTTCCTGCTGCAGCTGCTGGGGAATCCAGTGCTATGATCCTGGTAGAGATGTCAGGGTATCCTTTCTTAAGGCACCTATTAGCACAGGATCTCAGCACTGATCTCACGGGCTGTTGCTGCAGCTAGAAAACAACCAACACATTAGGCTGATTAATCCCTGTAGTAATCCCATTAACCTCCTTAATGGAGTTATAACATGGAGGAATTTACCCCTCTGCAGCAGTGCAAGAGGGAATTGCGCTGGAGAGCCTGTAAATATGGTGTGGCAGGGATGTCCGAGGTAAACATCTTTTTGTTTGTTTTAGTGCAAAGTGAAGCACCCTGACCAGCTGGAAAACCTCCCCATCTGCTGGGATTTTGAGCTCTTCACAGCATTAATGGTGCAGGTGCCCCCTGCAGGGTTCAGACACATCAGCAGGGCTCCTGGCACCCTCCTGACAGCTCGCTGTGTACCCACACTTGTTCTCTCTCTCTCCCAGGCAGGCATAGCCTGCCTCATTTCACAGCTTCTCAGACACAGCCTTTTCATTCACCTTTGCGGTTTCCTCTCCTTGTGCCTCTGATTGTGTGATCTGCTTGCTGTTCCCCATTAGAAGGGCAGCTCTGCCTGGACTGTGTCATTGGGCAAAGGACTGCTAAAAATAAGTAGCAGAGCTGCAGTCCTGACTTACCATTGCATAGGGAGCAGATCAAGAACAGAAATGACAAATTCTGAATTTCTCTTTCTCTCCCTGATTTTCTAGCCTCTGGAGAGGTTTGCCTGCCGCATTAGCCATGTGCATATCCTGCTCCTAGGCAGCTTGATTGCATTGCAGTTCTGTCATTAAAGGCTTCTCAGTACTATGAAGTCACCTCAAGTATATAAGAGCCAGAAAAGGCACCCTGCAAATCCCTCCTATGGAACAGACACCCTTTTTGCAGTCTACCACAACAGCCCACGCTCTCTGAAGCTCCTGCTGCGGTTCATTAGGGACTATACAGGGTGGCTAATGAGGCTGGGGGCTGGAGGAGTAAGGCAGGAAGCCACAGAAGGGTCTGACTAATTTTTCTGCTAGTTCACAGACTGTTGCCACATATGCAGGTGCACTGATGTGACTACTAAGCTGCAGTAACTCTTCATCTACGTGGTTTGTGATCTCCTTGTTAATATGCTAAATTTATTCTGTTTGATAGCCAGTCATTTCCTCCCACGGAGACTGCAATCCTGAGAGATGGAGTAGCCCATCTCTTTAGTGATCCAGGAGACAGTGGGAGAGAAGAGGGAAGGTGGTGTGTACATGGGATACACACACACGTTCCCAGGAATTTTATTTCTCTTTCTGCCTACGGCAGTCACTTCCCACGTTCAGCACAGGGATGAGTAGTCCTAGCAGCCACCTCTTGCCAAAGACCTCTTGCAGGTTCTCCCTCCAGGGCCGGGCTCTTACCACCATCCCCTTCCGCACCTGGTACCGCGTCTGCCCACGAAGGATCAGCAGTATCTGGTGGCAGCAGAAGCCAGCACAGGCCAGTCCAATCCCAAGCCAGAGGTAGAGCATGAGGATGACAAACATCTCAGAGCTAAGGAGAGCTCCTGCAGGACAGGAGTTGGGGGGGGGTAGGACAATAAGAGAAAGAGTTCAGACACACTTCACATGCCAGTGTAACACTCAGCCCCAAGATAAGCTGCCTATATTGTCTCACCACAAGCACGGAGTTAGGAGTGAGACAGGCTGGTTCCTCTAACTATGTAAAATTGTTTCCTTTGTAGCATCTGATGCAATGGACCTTGCTGGGGAAATAATAAAATGATAATGGTCTCCACACACTTCTCCTTTGCTGTTATTGCTGTTATATTCTAGATTATAGGGTCAAATTCAGTCAGAAGTGAAACATATCTGTAAGACTTCAGCACTATTTTGAAGTTTGGTTAATTTACTTAAGGATCTACTCCCTCATCACAATGAATCTAAGATTTCTAGGTTCCTTTTGAAAAAAGATGTGGGTCCTACAGCATGTAGATGCTTCCAGAAGCTTTACCATGTGCATTAATACTGGTATTTCTCTCTTATATTGCTATGTGCATGTATATATAAATAAAAATGTTAAAGGAAAAATAAAACAGAAATTACTTTTCTACCATTGAGCACAGACAGTTTTCATATGAATGCAAGAAACAGAAACATAAAACTTTCCAAAATGCAATCCACATACCCTTTTTAAAGCTGCTTCTAGAATACTCAAAATACTTTGTAGGTCAGAAACTCCTAATTCAACAGCTTTTGTAGTATGTATTTATGTTGAATATAGTTAAATAAAAATAGTCTGTGGGCCTCTTCCTCTACAATGATTTTAGAACTCCTTCTGGAAGATAGAATAATAGCAGGTATCACTGGGTGACCTTTCAGTGCATAGGCAGATCCAAACCCATTAAAATAATAACTCTGTGTGTGCATATGAATGTGTACACACATATTCTGTGTATGTTGGTATATTATTAAATATCCATGTTTATATACAGGCACAGAAAGCAAATTAAATGCGTGTCAATACTGGTATAAATAGTGGCTGTCCTCTCACTGGTTCCTGTGAGGCTTAGCAATGAAAAAGCTCTCACATGCTCCTGTCCCTCTGGAAGACCATGGGGCAGACAGGCTTGGGCAGGTAAAAGCATTTCTTCTGGAGCAGGGATTACATGGAAGGTAGAGGTGTGGTGCATAAAACAGGTGCGTGGCTGTTCCAGTTTGAAGTTCAATGCACGTGTGGCTGGATAAGAATCTCTTGCCTCTTATACAGAAGGCTGGATTAGGTGGTGTCATTTGGTTTTGCAATCTGTGAATCCCAGTTTCTCCACCTGGCAGTGCTGTAAGTGAGAGATAGGGACTGAGCAGTGACAATCACATCAAGCTTGGGGCTCAGCTAGCAGGCTTCTCTGAGGATGATTTGTAAGGACACTAACTACAGTCTCAAGCTTTCAGAGATTGTCCTCACTTGAAAAGGCACAGAAGTCATTCAGTTTTTTTCTAAATGCAATGTTGCCTTTCCCTTCTCATTAGATTCCATTCAGCTCAGTGGGCTTCGTAAGCAATACAGCAAGGGAAGAACAAGCCCCTTGGGATGATGAAAAATCCTCATACTAATTCTGTCAGAATAACTTAATCTATCAGGTAGATAGATTAAGCTAAATATGGGCTTCTCTGCTCCTCTTTTACTGGACCAGACTGGGACAGACATTTGTTCTTTCTTACAGCTCCTATTCAGGTAGGATATGGAGAAAGATAACTATTTTCTTTAGAGCTTTACAAGGCAGCTGTAAGCTTTATTTCTATGAGCTGATGAAATTTAACATCAAGAAAGTAATTATCCTTGATTCCCCTTGCAAATATTAAGCATCTCTGAGCCATGCTCTTCAGATATGTGATTTTTTAATTCAGGTTACCTAAATAAAGCATTTTTTAGAATTTATGGATCCAATCTGACCTGTGTTTACAAAAAGGCCCTCCATTTGTCCATCATCACCACAGCCCATTTTATTCTCAGATTCACTTTTGCTCTAGCTGAGCTGGTGTGATCTCAATCTTACTGCCATACATTATCTATGCTAGAAAAACTGAATCACAGGCTGAAATTATAGACTCTGGGTCAGATTCTGAAATCCATGTCCAAGCAAAGTCTGGGCAGAATAAGCCAACTGAAATTTTTCCCAGCATGAAAGCAGTGAACACTCAATTGACATAAGTCCAGCATATTCACCCTTCATCCTTCTTTTAGTCCTCCTCCAGTGCAGAGAGCATGATGGAGAAGAAGAAAGTTTTTTCCCTACTATGGTAATGCTCTGTTTAGATCCTACAACACTAAAGTAATAGTTATGTTAGCTGAAAAATATTATATAGACAACTATTCCGGGCTGTTTCTCTTTCCCGAACTGGAGGTTAACTGTGCCGGTAGAAACCTGGCAGGCCCTGCCTCCCAAGCAACCAAGACAACTATATACTGCTCTGTGAGGCAGCAGTTTTCACCCTGACAGAGCTAGAGGCTGGGTGGGAGCTGCTGCCTGCAGAGGGTGTTCTGGCTCCCAGCCCTCTGTGTCCCTCTCAACCATTGCCCACGTGCTGTCTTTGGCACTGCACTTGCTGACACCAGAGCTGGGGCACTTCAGTGGCTCTTCAAACATATGCCAGAACCCAGCTCGGTGCAGATGGATCCTCAGAGTCAAAGAGAGAGAACTAATTCCTTGATAATCTCCTCCCACACCCCTGCTCTCCCTCCCAGGCTGCTGTGCTGAGTTTAGGCACAAGGGAAAAACATTTCCAGTGTTTTTAATGTTAGTGAAGCTCATGCAACATTATTTACAAAAATTCTTCTACTTGGAAAAAGGACTCCATAAAAATGCCATGGCAGGATTTCGTGTTTACTGTCTCTCAGTGATTACCATGACAAATCTGCTAATTTGCCAAGTAGAGAGATACTTGTTTGTTTTCAGATGGCAATCCTGCAAACCCAGGCTGGAATCTGAACAGCAAAGGGCCTCTCTGGCTCCTGTATTCCCAGCAGCAGACTCCACACTCAGATCCCATTCAACATTTCTGGTGACAGTGCATGAGCCAAAACAGACTCCAGGCCCTGCTTACTGAAGCTGCAAATCTAAAATATATGGGATATGTATTTTAGTCTAACAAAAGCTGATCTAAGCATGTAAGACATGAGCTGCTTGCGGGGGCAGGGAGGGAGAAAGGGCATTTCCAGCAGTCACTTCCAGGACAGAGTAAGAGTTTAGGCTGTCAGCATAGTCCCTTATCTGACAGTGAAGGGGGGGAGTGGACCTGAGTGAAGAGAATGAGAGTATCTTGACTCAGATAAGGGGAACCTGCAGATTTTTAGGATACAAAACCCTACAGTTCTCCCTACCTCTGCGTGCAGGCCAGGCAAAAGATCCCCCTCACCTGCAGTACAAAGAGGAAATCCCTCTCCTCCATCTAATCGCAACACACTTCCTGCATGACAGATAGCCCTATTCTATCACTGGCAAGCTGGCTATGGGGCATTTTCCAGAACCTAATGCATTAGAAATCGGGTTGTGTCTGCAACCCAGAGTAAGTCCCAGCCTCTATTTCAGATGAAACGAAGTCCTTTGCAAAGGCTGTCTCTAGCCTGCAAAGAGAGATTTCTTGAACACAGACAATTGTCCCTCTGGCCCGTTTCCCCACCACAGCTCCCCCACACAGCTACCAGAGGAAGATCACATCCCCTGCAACCCAGGCATCTGGGAGAAGGCACATGCTCCTCATCTCTGAGGAAGGAGTCCTTACCTGAGAAGAACTGGCTGATGGAATGAGGCAGCAGAGTGAGGAAGGCCAGAGGGTTCGCAAAGGACATGGAGAGTGCAGCAGAAATGTAAGTCATGCCTGCCACCAGGGAATCGAGGCAAGCCAGGGAGGTGTAGAGGCAGAACATGATGAAGTTTCGCATGTTCCTGCTCCCAATGCAGTTCCCTGTGAAGAAACAGTGGTGGTCATGCCTCTGGGTGACTCTGGCACACAGTCTACAGAAGTGAGTGCTGGGCAAGGCTGAACCAGGGGACCTGCTTCCATCCAGCCAGTCCGCCACCACTTCGGATCCTTTGCCCAAATTTAAGCCCTTGCCCAAGTCCTCTGGGGAGCTCTGGATCACAAGGACGTAGTTGCCTAAGGCATTAGCTGAGAGGAAGAGGAAGAGGGCCCCATGCAGCAGAGCAGGAGAGAAAAGTGGGGTGGTGGAAGGGTCTCTGAACATGCTGGGGATGAAGAGAAAGATCTGGAGGACGAAGGTCACTAGGGAGATGCACAAGAAGTAGGCTGGAGCGACAACATTGAGAAACCTGAGAACTAGCATTGCGGATTACGTTCCTGCAGGGGAAAGCAAGGAGAGAAGGAACATCACCGCTCCGGCTGCACACTTCATCCTTCCATTTCCTGCCGGGTCCCGGCCCCGCTGCCTCCTGGAAATGCCCTCCGGGGGCCGCTGTCAGTCGCCGCCGCCGCCGCCTCCCCACGGTCGCGGCCGGGCTGGGACAAAGGAACAGCCCGTGGGCAGTGACCGCTCCCCAGCGCCCGGAGGAGCCCCCCCAGCCCGGCGCCTGCCGCGGGTACTTGCAGCCGCGGTGCCCCGGAGGGGCTGCGGAGGGTCGGGGGGAGCGGCGGCTCCCGCGGTGTGCCGGCGGTGTGGGCACCGCTCTGCTCGCCGAGCAGAGTCCCTCTGCCAGGCGGGGTCAGTTTTGGTATTGCATGAGAGGAAAAAAAGGTGGTGCTGGAGGAGGGGGGAGTGAATTGAAAAGGCGGGGGGGCGGGGGAGGGGGGGGGGGAGAAGGGGAGGGGGGAGAGGTTGCTCTAATCCACTGCAATACGGATCAAATCCAATGCTCTAATTTATCCTTTAAAGCCACGGATCTACAGATTACCTCTATGACCGCTGCCCTGCTCTGCACGAAATTAGAAAATGCACGAAACAGCTGGTCAAGTGATGTTCGGATGCAACCTGCGGCTCTGGGCTACCGAGCCGGGCGGCCCCGCAGCCGCGGCTCCGGTCGGGCACGGCGCATCTCCGCTGGCCTGACGGTCACCCTAGACCCGAACCCCCGGCCCCGGGGCTCAGCTTGCATTGCCTTCCATCACAGAAAAGCCCGGGGGACCAAACGCAGAGGGGAGACGTCCGGGTGGCGATGTGAGTGCCCCGGCACACCAATCACTCCCTCGCCAGCATCCCCAGCGCTCCTCAGCGCTGCGGTGCCTGCAGAGCCCCACGGCCGGGGGGATAGGGCTCCCCTTGTCCCTGCGGCGCGGGGGTCTGCACGCCGCCACCCTGCAGTGCCCTTGTCCCCAGGGGCGGCGGGGGCAGCCCGGTACCGGCATGTCTGGCGGCGGCGGAGACGCTGCTACCCCCCGCCGAGGCGAGACCCCCGGCCATGCCGAGACCCCCGCAGCAGCCGAGCCGGAGCACAGCCCGGCGTCTGCCGCGGACCCCCCCTCCCTCTCGCTCTCCCTTTCCTTTTTTTCTGATCCCGCCCGGTTCGGCCTTGTACCCTCTCGACCCGTGTTTGTCCGTCTCTTTGCCTGTCTCTCTCTCCTTGTTCTGTGCTTTTCAGTCCCTGTCCTCTCTTCTCCCTCTCCTTCGCTCTCTCTCCCTCCCTCCCCAGACTTGTTCTTGCCTGGTCCTCTCCCTCTCTCGACCCTATCCCTACCGGTGTTCCTGCCTCTGCCGGTGCCCCTTTCCGGCCCGGCCCCGCCCGATGGCCTGGAGCTCTCCCTTCAGCACCACCCGCACCTGCGCCGGGTCCCGCCACCTGCCCCTGGCTGTGCCGAGGTCTGCCTGGGGCGCTGAGGTTCTGACAGACCCACGGGGAGAGCAGAAGGGTGGAAAGGGACCTCCTGCTCTTCCCAGACAGTAGAGCATCTTTCCTTCCCGCAGTGTGGATGTGGGAGGCAGGATGAGGTTGCAGTGTGTCTCCCTGTGCCCCAAAGCTGCCCCTGTTGGAACCAGCATACGAGGCAAGAGGAAATCTGAGGGAACATCTCTGCAGGTTCAGAGCCAACCTGGGTTTGTAGGGCACCTTTGCACAACAGCAGGTAGCTAGGAAACGATTTGAGCTGGGCAGGTGGTGCCTGGGCATTGTGGCATGCTGGTAGAAGCTTTGCAGACATGTGTTTACCCTCTGACAGCTGCCCACCCTCACCCCACTCTGCCCACCTACACAGCCCTTGTACTGTCTACACAGATGCAGCCTCTCGCTCTCCTACACACCTCCGTGCAGCACCCTCCCAGCTCTGATGAAAAGCATCCCTGTCTCGCTCCCCCAGATGAGCCACCCGCGAGAGAAGAAAGGGAGAGAAGAGAGCTGCTGAGCTGCAGCTTCGCCTCTGGAGGCAGGCAAACTGCTCTGGTCAAAAGTCAAAGAAAGATGTGTTTAACCAAATCTCAGGTCCTGGGCTTACTAGCCAGCCTCTCAGCACAGATTCTGCTCCTCCAAAAGAGACTCTCACTTTGCCTGGAGGTTCAGAGCAAGATTGAAACATGTTTCATGTCTCAGTGTCTAGGGAGAGAGGCCTGGAGGAGAGGAGAGTGGCTGTGTTTGTCTGCTGCACAGGTGTAGCATGGAGGGTGGTGACAGAAACCAAGTGTTCCAGGGTTCTTCATCAGACGTAACTTTTTTGTCCCAGATAACTTCCATGATTCAACATTTCTGAGAAAAAACAGTGTCACTAATAAAAGCAGGAGCAAACCAAGCCTGTAGGCACTGGATCTGCAGTGACAAACCACCGAGAGACACCTTCGGCGGAACTGGAGGGAAAGCTGCTCAGAACTGATCCAGCTTTCACTCCCACCTCCCTCATTCTCCTGTCACAACTACTGAGAATAAAAATCTCCAATGCTCCCTCAACTCATCAATTTAAAGTAGACTGAGCCTTGCAATAGGGATACAGGATCCAGCCTGGGTTTTATCTTTACATAAGCAGACTGTGTTTTCTCCATGTTTTAACAGCTTACATCAAAATAATAATAACAAAAAATACAGAGAAGCCTTTTCATGTCATGGAAGACTGAGTGAAGGGACTGTGTCTCATGGATGACATTAATCCTGCCTGCGTAGGGAGTGTCAGGAGCTGTAACCAAGCAGAGGGAGGGAGAGAGGAAGAAAGGAAGGGAAGGAATAGTGAAAGGGAAGGGATAAGGAAGGAACAGGGAAGGGAAGGGAAGGGAAGGGAAGGGAAGGGAAGGGAAGGGAAGGGAAGGGAAGGGAAGGGAAGGGAAGGGAAGGGAAGGGAAGGGAAGGAATGGGGAAAGGAAGCGGAAGGGAGGGGAAGGGAAGGATTAGGGAAGGAATAGGGAAAGGAAAGGAAGGGATAGGGAAAGGAAGGGAAGGGAGGGGAAGGAATAGGAAATGGAAGGGAAGGAATAGGGAAAGGAAGGGGAAGGGAGAGGAAGAGAAGAGAAGGAATAGGTAAGGAATAGGGAAAGTATAGGGAAGGAATAGGGAAAGGAAGGGGAAGGGAGGGGAAGGGAAGAGAAGGAATAGGTAAGGAATAGGGAAAGGAAGCAGAAGGGAGAGGAAAGGAAGGAATAGGGAAGGAATGGGAAAAAGAAGGGAAGTGAGGGGAAGGGAAGGGATAGGAAATGGAAGGGAAGGAATAGGGAAAGAATACGGAAGGAACAGGGAAAGGAAGGGGAAGGCAGGGGAAGGAATAGGGAAGGAATAGGGAAAGGAAGGGAAGGGAGGGGAAAGAATAGGAAATTGAAGGGAAGGAATAGGGAAAGAATACGGAAGGAGTGGAAGGGAAGGAATAGGAAAAGAAAGGGAGGGAATAGGAAAAGAGTAGGGAAGGAATGGGGAAAGGAAGAGAAGGGAGGGGAAGGAATAGGAAATGGAAGGGAAGGAATAGGGAAGGGAGGGAAGGGAGGGGAAGGGAAAGAATAGGAAATGGAAGGGAAGGAATAGGGAAAGAATAGGGAAGGAGTAGGGAAGGGAAAGGAAAGGAGTGGAAAGGAAGGGAAGGAATAGGAAAAGAAAGGGAGGGAACAGGAAAAGAGTAGGGAACGAATAGGGAAGTGAAGGAATAGAGAAGAGAAGGAATAGGGAAGGAATAGGGAAAGGAAGGGAAAGAATAGGGAAGGAACAGAGAAAGGAAGGGAAGGGAAGGAATAGGGAAAGGAAGGGAAGGAACAGGGAAAGGATAGGGAAGGGAAAGGAGGGGAAGGGAAGGAATAGGAAAAGAAAGGGAGGGAATAGGAAAAGGGAAGGGAAGGGAAGGGAAGGAAAAATCCATTTTCCACTGGAATGGAAGAATGGTGAAGCAGATTGGGCCCCCCCCCCCCCCCCCCTTCTCTTTAAGATGCTCCTGCAAAGTGATGCTTATGATCTGTCACTGTCAAAATACTGGCTTCGTGTTTTAGGATAAAGTAAAAAAAAAAAAAAACCAACCAAAAAAAAAACACCAAAAAAAAAGTAATTCTTCGTTCAGTGCTGTAGTGTTGATATGATGAGCTGTTGGCAGGACGGGGGAGAAGTTGTCTGGGGATGAATTTGCCTATGCACGTGCATGTGTATGCAAGATGGGTAGATAAGGAGATGAGCACCGGGAGTATGTGAATAACAAGAACAGTAGTTAATTTGGAGCAAGCGTTAGAAAATAACAATATTTACTGCAGGAATTTGATTTTTTCCTGCTGTAAAACCAACATAATGAGAGAACTTGGATGTGTGGCACTCATAAATATTATCTCCATTTTCCTTCTCTGTGGAGATAGAGTTCCCTTGGACAGAGTCTGCTTGTGACCCATGAGATGGAGTATTCCCCATCCCACCTTTCAACCATAGGTAAATCACTTCACCCACGTGTCAATATTTTCCTGGTTTTTGAATAGGGTAGAGATTATGCTGTATGCCTTTCTTTGGAAAACCTTGACAGCTGGGCATAAGGAATTCCTGTAAGAGCAATTTATTGTTGTTATTACATACTGTGTAGATGTCCTCCAGAAATTAGCACAGCATATCACAGCCAGCCCCTCTCCCTCACCCCAGACTTGACATTGCTGAGTGTCACCATTCTGCTCTCCCCTATGTCCAGTCCAGGCGGGGGCTTTCTCTGTTATGGGCCCTTTCCAGTATGTCCCTTCAGCAAGCGGGGTGAGAAGGCACTGGAATAATATATACAGCTGTCATCCAACTGGTGCTTTCATCTTCTAGTTCAATAACCTGGGCTACACTTGATGATGACTGGCACGTGACAGTTTTGGTAGCTTGGTTCCCAGATCTCTGAGTTGTCTGTGCTCAGATGTTTTAAGAAGAATAAAATACAGTTTCAGTGAATGCCATGCTCTGATACAGCCTGCTCAACATCTTTCTAGGTCTCGCTTTAAATTGAATCCCAAATTATGTATAATTTCTTCCAACTCCAAACGTGCATTGCCTCAGCCCCATTAGTTTAGCATTCATGATACAGTCTGATGGTGGTTTTTCTCTGAAATGAGCGAGTTAATTTCTGCTATTTGCTGTGATCATTCAGAAGAAATTTATGGTCTGTCATAAATCCGGTGCTGCTTGCCTTAAATTATCACTTAAATACAAGTCTTATCACGGTTTTGTGGGCCTCTTTTCTTTCCTTTTTTTTTTTTTCTTTTCCCAGTTATTTAGCTTTAAAAATGATCAGGTCCTGAAGATCTCTGGAGGTGGAGATTCTCCACCGCCTCCAGGCAATCCATTCAGTTCACTGTTATCCTTTCAGGGTATTTCTTCATGCCTAACTTGACACATTCCC